AAAGCGGCCACTTTCTCCCAGTGAATTGATATCTGTCACCTGGAGATCAGTTGTTAATAGCGGGAGATCTCCAGCCACCACCTGGAGGTTGGTAGCTCAAGGCTGGATGGGTGAGTGTAATATGTTGTTATGGGATGGTAGCTGTACCCTGAGGGGCGGAGTTGACTGGTTTTGTTCTGAGAGGCTTTGTGTGTGGGGTGTGGGGGCTGTGAGGGGGGGAGGGGGACTGAGTGAGGTGCCATGACAGAAATCTGTGTTCTGTGTGGAAGTTATTAGCCTAAGTGTCAGGTCAGGAAAATTAAGCTTTGTGCCGGTTATTAGCCTAAGCGGCAAGTGAGAAAATAAGCCTTTGTGGTTAGGTTTACTTAAGGAACTCAAGAGAACCTATCTGAAACCATACAGGGCTCTTTTTGTAGCAGGAACTCCTTTGCATATTAGGCCACACACCCCTAATGTAGCCAATCCTCCATGAGCTTACAGAGCTGTCCTTACAGGGGCTACTGCAAGCTCTTGGAGGATTGGCTACATTAGGGGTGTGTCACCTAATATGCAAAGGAATTCGTGCTACAAAAACAGCCCTGATTTACGTATAGGTACTATTTGAAACCATTAAGCTTGTTAATCATACAGAAACCATTATGTTGTTAGGGAAAAAAACTCTATTTCTGTTTAAGAAAAAATGAATGTTTTGTTTAGACTAAAGGATCCCCTTTTACCTCAGAGCCACCCACATGTCCTGACCGTTCTGTCACTCTGCTAATTATAACGAAGCCATCCTGTTCTTTAGGTCCAACTAAGAATTCTAAGGCAACAGCCTTTGGTGGGCAGTGAGAATAAGTAGGGGACACAAAGGAAGGCACGGAGAAAGCATAACACACGTCACCTCAGAACACCACAGAGAGGTGTCTTTACAGACGTTACATATAAAGGGTCTCACAGAAAAGAGTCCATATACATATTGTGAGAAAGTTGAAAGTGTGGGGGAGAAGACAGTTGAGTGGATGGGGAGTGAGGTGCTGTGAGAGAAATCTGTGCTCTGTGTAGAAGTTATTATCTTAAGTGGCTAATAGCTTTGTGCAAGTTTAGCCTAAGTGGCAAGATTTATTTAAGTGACTTTAGTAAAAGAAGAACTGTACCTCTCTTAAACCATTATGCTTATGAGCGTAACAAAATTGTTACATATAAGGGGTCTCGGAAAAGAGCAAAAACGTTACAGAGGTCTTTGAAGAGATCATCAGATTTAATTCTTACATTGCTGATCTTGAATGCCAAGTTAGTGAAATGTTTGTTCGAGGCTTCTTGCTTTTGTCTTTATTGAACGCATGTTTGGGGGCAAAGTAATAATTTGCTAAGGGTGCCAAAAAGTCTTAGGCCAGCCACGCCCTTCCCTCAGACTGCTGTCTGTGCATAGCATGTCTGCATGCTCAAGGACACTGCATTTTGCTGTACAAAGCCTTCAGATTGAAAGAATTAAGTCCTGTTCTGGGTTCTAACTAGGGATGCTTTTCAATTATCAGGTGTTGTTTCCAAAGCTGGACCAGTGCATTTAGAATCCCCTGTTACTCTGTTTTTTGCTTTTTAATTTTTGTAGATAATACTGTGCGTACATCGTGCTACTGTCAGTTAATATAAGTGTCTTTCCCCTCTACCAAAGTGTGTAATCTTAAAACTCTGCAATCTTCGTGTGCTTTACATGGACAGTTTTTCAATAATCTTCTGTGGTTTAGTATTTATTCTGTTTGTTTATTTACAAAATTTCTGCCCCGCATTTTTGCCCTCATCAGGGCCACCAAGTGGCAGCTAACAGATTAGAAACGTATGAAATAAAACTACATCTTAAAAACTCTTAAAACAAAAACACATTATGAAAACAATTAAAATCAATGCTAAAATACACACAGCAATTAACACACAGGACAGGAAAGAGCGATCACTGGGACCGATTTCACACAAGAGCTGCGCCACAGTCACGCCTCCCTTTGCCCCGCTTCTATTGGTCAATTTCCCACTCGAAGCCACACGGCCACATTTTGACCCATGGCTTCACCCGATTTCCCCCCAATTTCGTGATCCTCAAAAAACAGGATCACGAAACCGCGGGGAAAACCGGGCAAAGCGCCATGCGGATTTGAGTGGGAAATTGACCAATAGAAGTGGGGCAAAGGGAGGCGTGACCGCGGCACAGCTCTTGTGGTGTGAAATCGGTCTGGGGGGATGCCAGCTGAAACAGAAAAAGCTCTTCACCCACTGGCAGATGATGGCAAAAGAAGGGGACAGACAAACATCCCTGAGGAGAGAGTTCCAGAGTTTTGGTACCATGACTGAGAAGATCCCCTTCCCAGGTTGCTACCCTCCTAATCTCAGAAAGTGTGGGGTACCCAACAACAACAACCACCACCTTTATTGGAATTATGCACTAAGAAGTATACAAAACATATGGAGTACTCAATACAGTTAACACATATCTTGCTTTTTAGAAGCCAGATACAAAAAAGTTTCCACTATTTCAACAGTTACAGCATTATTTGAGGAAAGAAGATGGACTTATAATTATCAGATTGGCCTATTAAATCCATTAACAACCGATCTAAATACTTAACACAAATGTCAGCATAATAATCACAATACAGAAGGACTTGCTCAATACTTTCTACTTCCTTTCTACCACAATCACATAACCTCTGTGCATAAGGAATCTTTGAAAATCTCCCTTGAAGTACTGCAGAGGGCAACACATTAAAACATGCTAACATATAAGCTCTGCAAGTACATGGATCACTGAGGGAGAAAAAATATTTTGCTACCATCCCGTGTGGGGTACCCAAAGTAGGGACTCCCAAGATGACAGTAGTGGTCAAGCGGGTTGATAAGGGAGTAGGCAGTCCTTCAGGTCTGTTGGTCGCAAATAAGGATGTCCCAAGTAGGGTCCCAAATAGGGTCCCAAATAGGGACGAACCGAATGCACCCCCGAAAATGGCCCATTCGGACCCCTTTCAGGCTGTTGCAGGTCGATTCAGATTCTCTGATCTGAATCATTTTGCATCGAATTGCCGCCGAATTTCGGCAGCAATTCTGCCCCATTATATCCTATGGGCCATTGAAGTCAATGGTGAAAACATAGGGTATATTCTGGGTGCTGGAGGAAATGGGGTTTGAGGGAGAGGCTCCAACCTCACAGGGTAGCTGCTGGAGCCTCTCTCCAAGATACCAACCAAGTTTGAAGAACATTGGAACAGGGGGTCCAATTCTACGGGGCCCCAAACAGGTTGCCCCTATCTTCTCCATTGTTTTCTATGGTGGTAACTTTTTTCCCACCATAGAGAAAAATGGAGGGGATGGGGCAACCTGTTTGGGGGCCCGTAGAATTGGACCCCCTGGTCCAATGCTCTTCAAACTAAGTTGGTATCTTTGGGAGAGGCTCCAGCAGCTACCCTGTGAGTTTGGAGTCTCTCCCTCAAGCCCCCTCCCCTCCAGCACCCAGAATATACCCTATGTTTTTGCCATTTACTTCAATGGCCATAGGATATAATGGGGCTGAAATTGACATTCGGCTGGCCGAAAGACTCCCAAATCCGCTCATGAAACTGACATGCGGGAGTCTTACTACCAGCCGAAATTGATTGTGCCTGATTTGGCCGAATCCAAATGGGCCAATTTTTTTTTTTTGCACACCCCTAGTCCCAAACCATATAAAGCTTTAAAAGTCAGCATTTTTACTTGTGCCTGGAAACGCATTGAGAACCAGTGCAGATGGGCCAAGTCTGGAGTGATATGGTCCCTGCGACCCAGTCTAGTCAACATCCTGGAGGCAGAATTTGGCACTAATTGACTTTCCGAATGCTTTTCAAGGACAGCCTTATGTAGAGTGCATTGCATTAATCTAATCTAGATGTATCCAGGGCATACACCACAATGGCCAGATCTTTTCTGTCCAGGAAAGGCAGCAGTTGGCTATCCAGTATAGTTGTCAGCACTGAGATGGAAAATACCTGGAGATTTGGGGGTGGAGCCTGAGGAGGGCGGGGTTGGAAGCGGGGAGGGCTATAGAGGCTGTCATCCAAAGCGGCCATTTTCTTCGGGTGAACTGATCTCTGTCTTCGGGAGATCAGTTGTAATCCCAGGAGATCTCCAGCCACCACCTAGAGGTTGGCAACCAGCAGTAGGTCTAGTTCCAAGAGCTCGCCCAGACTACAGACCCATTCCTTCAGGTATACAGGGGCACATGCGTTCATTTGTAAAGCATAATAGGAAAAGAATTTTGTGGCTGCCTTGCCTATGATAACGCCAGGGTTGCTTTCGCAGTGTTTTCCTCCCCAAAAATGTGAATCAGTAATGCAGAAAGGGAAAGTATGCAAATAAGGAGACCAAGGATGCAAATGGCCTGAAACTGTTCATGCTCCAGTGTTGGCATTAATATTAAAAATTCTTCTTTTTAAAACTAGGATTAAGGAGGGCTGGAATGCAGAGCAGAGAGAGATTCAAAGTAAAGGCACGGAGGAGGGGAATCGTCTCATCTGTAGCAATACCCTTCCTGGACTTCACTCTCATACATCTTTAGACATGACAGTAAAGAAAAGGAAGAAATTTGTCCTGAACGAAGCTTTTAATACCGCCATTAGCTGTTGCTTACATTACAGGAAAATCCTTAGCATACACATAATTTTTCTCTTCCGTGTTTTCATTCTCCTTAGTTGGATCCCCTCCACCCCTTCGACACATGAGATTAACCTCCTTTACTGGCAGAAGTTAGAAATGAAATAATCTATCTGAATTAAATGAGCTGTTACTGTATGAAAGTAGGGTTCCCCCCGCTTCCTAGAGAGCACAGAATAACCTTTATGATATTCTTGTAAGTCACTGTGTACGGCAGTCTGAATCAGCCACGGTCAGAGTAACATGTTCTTTTTCCAATAGTCGTTAACATAGCTGAGTCAAAGCCAATTTATGGGAATATTAAATGCTGTTTTCCCTCCTCTCCCTCCCCCTCCCTGTTGTTACAGGATTGCACAGTGTACGAAACGGAAAATAAAATTCTTCATGTGGTAAGTAGACATTACAGCCTCTTGTTGTTTATGCTTTGCACAGACTTATTCCGTAGGATGCTACCATCTTGGGAATCATAGCTATAGCCCTGCACACACTTACCTGAGAGCCAGTCCCATTCAATATCAGGACTTACTGCTCAATAAATATGCATAAGACCTGGCTATGAGGCTCTGTATTGGATCTTGTCACCATTGTTGACGATAGAAGGATGGCTTAGAATTTTTTGTGGCTCCCAGAGTGGCAATAAGAAATCAGCTTTGCAAACAAGACTGTGCAGGTTCCTAGTCCACAAGGCATCTCTCTGTACATGGTTCAGGGAAGATACGCTATACTCCCCTCGGAGTTTCTTAGAATGCATGGCTTTGCACTCTCCTCTTCACCTGTCATCAGTGGTGTTTCCTTGGTGCTTGCTCTCGGAAGTTGCACTGAGCAGATGAATCTGCAAACATGATTTTAGTATACTTGACCAAAATGAGTGTGTATTAGCATGCCTTCAGTTAGAGGGGGTTCTCTGGTCTTGTGAATCCCCTTTAAAGTTAGCAGCCTGGGCAGAACTTGGGGTAGCAGACACTGTACATACAGGAGGCCCAAAGTCCAAGCCCTGGTGTGCCTCTGGCTTTGTCTCCAATCGTGGGTCTCCAGTAGTATGTTAAGGGAAAGACCGTGCTGTGTCCGAGACCCTGAGGAGTCACTGCCAAGTGGGCAGAAAATGTTCCAACTTGGTGTTAGGCAGTTTTGTATGATCACAGGAACGTTCCTCGATAGGCTCTTTTCAAAGCTCCACTTCCAAAAACATTAGCTGTATTTTTTGGTAAAGAGTTTATAGTGCATAATTGATTGTATAGGCTGTGCTTTCCATGGTAAATGTATTTTGCATGAAATTGCAGGTTGGCTATACATCAATATTGATTGCCAAGGAGCTGCAAAGGAGCTTTTTAACCATTTGGTGTGATTAAAAAAAACCCACAGTATTATTACAGCCTTGTGTGTATCAGTTGCTCACAACGGAACCCTGTTTCTTGATAGACTGGGCTAACTGTAGTTTTTAGCATTTGGTCATGCCTAGACTTTCATCAATTAATGACTACTGGAGTATGGTGTTTTTTTTTTAAGGAGTAGGGCAGTAGTAATGGGTTTCATTTTAAATTTTCATTGCTCACATACTCTCTGGACTGAATTAACCAGCAGGCTAAATAGGTTATGCACTGCAGTCCTGACCATACTGATGTCTCTGTTCCAATAAAATTATCTTGGTTTTCTTCTATGGATCGTGGCCCGCCTGTCATTTTCAAGGGAGACAGCAGTAAATGCCTTGTGAATGGTGATGTTCAGAACTGAGGAGTAAGAGGAGATAACCCTCCCTGTCCATACCTTCCAGACTGATTCTAAGCTATTCCCAAATCACTCTGCAGTTCAGGCTCAGTTTGTGATTGGCTTGGCCCCAGCACCACCCTGCCCCAGCAGCCCCCCTCCCATATCCTGCCGAAATTTACCCAACGGCAGCGGTGGGGATAAGAAGAGTAGCCTTCATTAAGCAGCAGCATAGTCATCGAGACCTTCTGGCTCCTTATTTAAGGATCCATGAAGCTTGAGAAACTACATTTCCCAGGAGTCAGCAAAGGCCCTCAGTGGGTTCAGCGGGAAACGGCAGCTGCACATTGTAGAGAGAGCATTTTAATACAAGGGCTTTTCAAATGAACCGTTCTTCCTCATTTACCCAGCAACTTGAATGCTCCAGTTTCTTTTAGTGGAGCTTATGAAAAGCAAAATGTAAAGCCATGAAATCCTGACATTTCTTTCTCTTGAAGAGCCTCATTGACTTTTAGCTTGGATTACTTTGGCACAAACAACATCCTTAGAAGTACAGCATAGCCGGGCACTCCAAATGGGCCTAACTTTAAAATGAGCTAACACGGGCCTGATCGGAACTGAGCCTCAATTTAGTTCATCTGAAGCGAGCCCATGCTGAATGGAGTTTGGGGAAACTTTCCCGTTGCTAGTTCTGAACCTTCATGCAGAGATGTGGCTACCCCAAAGTACCACTAGCGTAAATCATTCAGCATTAAACCACTAATAAAAATCCAGGGCAAACATAGGACAGAATCCTCAAAGAAGTAACATTCCAGAGTAGCCCACATTAAAACTCAGCAGAGCCATTCCGGGAGAAGAGCTTTTTCATGACTGCAGTTATTGCCGTTTTCACCTTTCCTCTAAGCTTCCACTAAAAGAAACTGGAGCACTGAAATTCCTAGCTGAATGTGGATGAGTATTTAATTAGAAAAGCCCTCACAAAACATGTTCTTTGTGTGTTTTTTGTGTGCTGTTTCTCACTGAACCCACTGCAGGCCCTCGATTAAAAAAATGCTGTATTGCTCCGTTTTCCTCTTCTTGGGCAATAGCGCCCTGTAATGGCACTCAAAGTTCACAGACACTGGGGCATAGCTCTTGCTTAACAAACTGATTACAAGTCAACTGTCGGAGGCTGGAGCCATTTTAATTCCCGCTAAGAAGATGATCATTTGCACAACTCTGCTCTGCTCAGCACTACTGATGGTTGAACTCCACTTAGCTCGAATCGCATTTGAGTCACCATTTGCAAACATCATCTGCAGATGTTAAAATCACAATAATAATGGTAGGTTTTCCACCAGGAGTTCTAAATTGGTTCACATTAATGCATGTGCATTCTTGCATCACCACTTGAGAATTGGTGTGGTAAAGGATGGGAGTGGGGTATGCAGCAATCCTCTCAGGCTACTGTGCAATGCTTACAGACTTGTAAGGGTTTGTTTGTTTGTTTGTTTGTTTAAGAAAAGACCACATTTATATTCTGCATGCCCAGCTCTGGGCAATTTTCTCCTACAATAGGCCTTCTCAGCCAAATTGATTGCTGGATTCAGGAACCAGGGAATTGTTTTGTGAATTACATTCCCATTTAAAATTTTCCTAGTCAGTTTCAGCAATCTGGGAAAGGAGACTGAGGCTGCTTTCACAGGTGTCGGATAATGCATCCTGAAAATCCAGTTGTGAACAATTGCTAAAGTGCATTAAAAGTGCATCTGACATGTGTGAAAGCATCAAACCATCAACTTCTGAGCATGTGCCAACAGCAGATACTGAATTTGGCATTTAGTCTAAAGAATGCCAACTACGGAATGCAAAGTAGGTATATGTGCATGTAACAAATCTCAACGTAAATTACAACAGTCAAAATTTCTGCTTCTAGTTCCAATGAATTTGACTCTCAATATATCTGGATAGTGTGACCTAGAAAATCCTTATATTTGCTTTTGCAGTCCTGTGTGGTAATGCCCACAGAGCCAGTTTGGTGTAGTGGTTAAGTGAACGGAGTCTAATCTGGGAGAACCGGGTTTGATTCCTCACTCCTCTACTTGCAGCTGCTGGATGACCTTGGGCAAGCCATAGTTCTTTCAGAGGTGTTCTCTCACGAGCAGTTCTCTCAGAGCTCTCTCAGCCCCACCCACCTCACAGGGTGTCTGTTGTGGGGAGGGGAAGGGAAAGGAGTTTGTAAACCACTCTGAGACTCCAAGTGAAGGTTGGGGTATAAATCCAATCTCCTCCTCCTCCTCTTCTTCTTTCATGGCCTGGGTGCCCAGTTCTCTGTCCCCCTGCCACATCCATATTGGGTGCAAGTTAAGGACGGCTGTGAATCTTTTAGGGCACTGCTGCTAAAATTCAAGGTTATCTCCCCTCAGACTCCTCTTGCTCATAAGATTGATTTCCTCATTCCATACCAGTACTATTCAATAGTGGCATTAATGCACTTTGCTATGTAAAGCTGCAACTCAGGACTGGCATCAGCGGCCAGCATGGTTGGGCTGCTGCCAGGGCCCTTTGCAGAACCGTAACCGAAGGGGAAAGCATGAAAGAATGTGTCCCATGCTCCTCCCTTCTTGGTCCCCCTCCAGGGGAAAACGGGAATTTGCTGTAGAGGCTGATGTAATGCTGTAGGTGGTCTCTGGAGCTAATTCCCATTCCTGGCTGAGAGGGATGCCCAAGGAAGGAGCTCAGCTCGTTGTTCTCGCCCACATTCAAGCTACGTGTCCAAAAGCAACTCTCTGACTAGGGGTTCAGCTGGTAATTCAGCCCCAGGTTCAGCAGCATGAAAACGATACCTCCAGTATAAGGAGTAAGGGTTTCAGCCTCCGCTTCAGTAGCGAAGTGGAATTCTGACAGTAGGAATTTGAGGGCAGATTTGCGAGATACAAAGTCTTTGTGGCCACCAGGAGGACTTTGGGATCACACGTGCACTGGAAGCTTCTGTGCTCCCCCTGGTGCCTGGGAGCCTGATTTGGATGGGATTGGGGCCACCATGGCACATGTGGAGAAAGGGCTTCAGCCTTCCCTCTGTGCTGCTTTGCTGACCAGAAATGTCCCAGGGGGACTATTTCCTCTACTGGAGAACTTGGATATACTGATGATTTCTCCATGAACATGTCTAATCTCCCTTTAAAATTAGCTAAATGAGTGGGTCATCACTTTATCCCATGTCAGTGAATCCCACATGCTGACACAGAAGCTTTTCATACGAATTCGGAACATACCATGGCCTATTCTTGCCTATTGCTGTTAAGAAACTCTCTGTTGGTGATTTGGCTGATTCATTTGCAGTTCTTTACTTTGGCCAGAACTGGATGGCAGCTCAAAGGCTGATACCTCCCCAGGATCAGGACCTGCTCCCTCCTGCTGTCCTGGCAGGTTGAAAAGTTAGGGTGTTCAATGAAAACACGTCTATAGAAACCTATCTTCTGTGATGGGTTGGTTTGGGAATAAGTTGCCTTGAGTGCTGAAAGCAGAGGTTAAAATGACACAGCTTTTAACCAGGGTCTAACACAGGAGCTGGAGGTCGCTTGGAAGCCTAGCTAAACATAATTTGTGGACCTGACCTTGATACAACTCAAAATATGTTTGTATTTTGTCATAGGCTCTCTGAGCGTCACCTTGGAGGGGTTGTTGCTTTGATGGTCCCTTGTTG